TCTTGCTTCATTGGTCTCTGGAGCACGTACCATCGTGTGGTGCGCTGTCTGGCTCCCCACCCCCACCCCTGCTGGAATGTGAGCCCCACAAGAGCAGTGGGCTTTGCTTCCATCACTGCACTGTCTCTGGCACCTAGAAATAGTGCCTGGCACACAGGTGACACTGTGCTGAATGACTAAATGTTTGTCAGTCCTCAGGTTCTGAGTCCTGTGCCCGGGAACCCAACGGGAACCGGAGGAGTTCTGCATCGCCCCGCCTCCCGGGAAGATGCAGAGCCTCAGGCCTGAGCAGATTCGGGGGCTGCTGGAGCCCGAGAGGGCCAAGACGCTGCTGCCTCGGGAGAGCAGGGCCTGGGAGAAGCGCGCCACCCCCACCAAAGACTGGGTGGCGGTGGAGGTCGGGGCCACCGGCTGTGATGGTGACGAGAAAGGTGAGGGGCGGGGGGTCCCATGGGAGGTTGGCGGTGGGGTGGGGAAGACAACATTCGTTAACATTTATTCAACAAATGTTTATGGACCTTGTGTCCGTCAGCTTTTGCTGTGGAGCGAGTCGCCCCAAAACTCAGTGGCTTAAGGCAACAGTCATTTCTCTGCTCATGCTTCTGCAGGTCAGCAGGATGATGTGGGCTGAGGGGACCGCTGGCTGGCTTCCCCAGCCTGCATCCGCACCTGCGGCCACAGCGAGCTGGCGAGGCAGCTGGTCGACCCCGCGCGTCTGGCTGGCTTGACGGTGCTGACTTTAGGCCGCTTGTTTCCCGCAGGCCAGCCCGGGCTGGTTCTCACGAGAGTCGCCCGGGCCAGCTCGGGGTCAGTCTCAGGAGAGTTTTCTCTTGATTGCGGGCGAGAGAGGGAAGGGCCTCCATTCACAAGCAGTTTTTTAAGCTGTGCTGGCAACCCACTTGCTTAGGGGCCGTTGCTCAAAATAAGCTACTCGGTCAAGTTCAGCATCACTGAGGGAGGGGACCGCCCAGGGGTGTGGATGTGGGTGTCAATGAATAAGTTGAAGGCCCTTGGGGACGAAAATCTACCACAAGCACCCACTGTGTGCCAGGATCTAGCGGCAAACAAGATGGCCGCAGTAGAGCTCAGATTTTAGTGGAGAAACCGACAACAAACAAGTTTTGAAAGAAGCAGCCAGGGCCACACATGCAATGACCCTCCGTGGCGACAAGCTTGCTGTGTTCCAGGAGGTTATGGTGACCAGAGGGAGAGCGTGAGTTCTTGCTGATGGAGGTGAGGAGGGGTGGACTAGAGAGACACCAAGGATAATGCCTGGGGTTTGGGCTCAAACTGCTGGACAAGGGGTGGTGCCATTTGCTGAGACGCGGACCCCCGAAAGGCAGCCCCGCAGCAGAACGGGGACTGGACCTTCTACTGGGGCAGGGTCTTCCCTTCTCCCAGAGGGGAGGAACAGCCGCCGGGCAGAGGCGTGGATGCTATGGGTGTCTGTCCCGGTAGCGGGGAGGGGGTTGGGGGCTCCTAGCAGGGCCTGGGTGCAGGAAGACTGGAAAATGCCGATCTTTGGCCTGACCCCCAGTTCTCACCAGCTAAGGAGTGAGAAGGACGTTGATGTCCTCATGTGGGGAGTTTGCTCCACCAGGGGCTGGAAGCTGGGGAAGCCTGCTTCATCCTGGTTTCATTCCGTGGATTAAACCTCACTGGGTTTTGCTGGAGGCCTGGAGAGAAGGGACCGTTTTACCCATTTGACAGGTGCAGGAACAGAGGTTCCGGTGGCAGGTCACATCAGGTGACCCGCTTGAAATCTTCCAGGTAATTACAGAAATAGGACCGGAATTCAGGTCTCCTGTTCTCTCTGCCCTACCTGAACCACGTGGACCAGAATGTGTGCGCATGCGCCACGTGCCGTGGGAAATCAGGAGAAAAGGGACAGGACGCCAGGCGGGGCGAGCAAACAGAGCCCACCCCAGCCAGCCTGGTCACTCACTCCTGGCTCCTTTCTTCTTCCCTCAGGTCTGTCCTCTCAAGGGACCGGGCTGGCCCAGGAGTGGACCTCGGCGGACGTAGATGACGGGTCAGAGGACTCGCAGGTATGTTGGACGGTTCCTTCCTCTTTCGCAAACCCCCGCCCTGCAGATCTCAGTGGGTCGTCAGTTCCTTGCCTCAGAACTCCTCCGCCTCCCGAAAGTCTGTTTGGGGAATGTGAGCCCCCGAGAAGCCTCCCCCTGGAAACAGGACATATCCCTGTGGTAGTCAGACATGGCACGGAGGGTCTCCAGGTGGTGTGTAGCTCCATCCACACATACCCCAAAACCTTCACTCATAAACTCAAAGTAACCGTTCATTCATCTGTCCCCTCATTCACCCACCCAACCTTTCATTTGCCTGCTCATACATCTGCCCGTTCCACCCATGCCTCCATCCGCCCGTCCATTCATCTACCTCATCTGTCTGTCCACTTATCCATCCGCTCACTGATCCTCCTATCCGTTCACATTCCCACCTGTCCAGCCACCCATCCATCGATTCACGGACCCATTGTATCCATCCACCGGCCGTGGTCAGGATTTGGTTACTGTTCACCCACCCACATGCCTACCCATCCGTCTGTTCATCTCTGTCCATCCGCTTGTCCACTCACCAACCCACTCAGCCATCCCTCCGTCTGTATAGCCGTCCATCCACTAACCACTCCCTGGGTTTTAATCCCAATAATATGCGTGAAACCAAGCAGAGTTATCAAGCACGTTCCTTCATTGAAACACCTAATGTTTTCTTTGGGGAACAGAAGACATCAATATGTTAAATATTAACAGTGGTTCTTTTATTTATTCATTTATTTTATGCATTAGGAAAATCATACAACCACTCTCAGCAACACGAGGGTCCCATCTCCCAATCATCTGTCAGAAATCCAACTGAGATTGGTTTCAGCCTGGAAAGCGATTTACGGACTCACACTGGGGGGAGGGAGGAAACCATGAAGGTGCAGAAACAAGTGCTACAGTGGAAGGCTCAAAGGAAGAAGTTAACGATGTGGGCCTAGAGGCTTATTCTAGAATATTCTGGAGATAGGGAAACAACAGACCTCGGGTTTTAGGGGTAAGAATTTATAGGGCAGGGAAGGAAACATTTTCCTCCGACTAGGCAGAGGGAACAGCATTTGCAAAGGCACAGAGGCATGATGTAGCATGGCATAGTTGGGCGGGGGGGGGGGGGGGGGGGTGGTGGTATTGGACTTGAGGGGAGAGCAGTGGGGGATGTGGGTGAAAATCTGCCTGGAATGAGATCATTCATTCATTCCACAACTGTTTCTTGAGCACACACTATGTGCCAGGCAGTGTTCGAGACACTGAGGCACAACAGTGGATCGGATAGAAATGGCACCTCCCTTCATTGGACTTACAGTCACTGAGGTAGACAGACAATAAGCAAAATGAGTGGCTAAATTACAAATCGTGCCGGGTGGTAATAAGTGCTACCGAGAAAAATAAGGCAGGAAGGGGGTTCAAGAGTATGGAGTGGGGTAGGAGTTGCCATTTTAGGAAAGGTGTCCAGGGAAGTCCTGAGAGAGAGATACCGGAGTAAAGGCATCAAGGAGGTGGGAGAGTGAGACTGGCAGGTGTCCACTGGGAAGAGGTTCTAGGCCGAGGGGCACAGCAAGTGCAAAGGCCCTGGTGTAGGAGTGTGCCCGGCACGTGTGCGGAACAGCAGTAGGGGTCAGTTGGCCGGAGAAGAGTGGGAGAGTAGGAGGAGACAAGGTCCTAGAGGTGATGGATGATGTAGTGGCTGTCGACCATGGTAAGAATTCTATTTGGTTTTTACTCTGAGTGCAGCGAGAGCTATAGGAGAGCTCTGGACAGAGGAGGGAACCGCTCCAGCTTAGGTTTTAACAGGAGCCCTCTTGCTGCCAGGTTCCATGCCACGGGGGTTGGGTGAGCCTTACAGGCAGCGGGGAGCCATTCAAGGGACTTGCGGATACACAGAAGTCTCGCTGGTAGCCCATGTGGAGGGATAGGTGTGGGAGCAGTCAGGAACCTCCAGGCAGGAAACAAAATGGGTGAGAATGATTCACCTCGTGGCGTTGTGAGCCTGACTTGATTCTTAGTGCTTCTCATTAATTCATTTATTCACCAACCTTCACTATCTCTTGCTATCAAGTCCCAAGCCCTGTGAGGTAGTTAGAATGGCCCCTCTCGCTTAAGGAAACTCTCAGAGGGCACTGTAAGGGCAGGGGAGGTGCCTAGAGGCCTCTGCAATAACATTCATTCGTTTGTTCATTCATTCATTCACCGAGCCGTGACCCATTTACCTGCACTGATGGAGCATTATGCTGGGGGGCATCTCTCATTGGCAGGCTGTGGGTCCTGCATGGACACAGTCTCCCTCCTGTGGGACCACAGACCACTAATAATAATAACAGTAGCCAGGCTCCACAGCCCTCCCCATGAAGCTTTCTCAATTTGATAATCTTTTATTTTTTAACATTTATTCATTTTTGAGAGAGCAAGACAGAGCTTGAGCGGGGGAGGGGCAGAGAGAAAGGGAGACACAGAATCTGAAGATGCTCCAGGCTCAGAGCTGTCAGCACAGAGCCTGACGTGCGGCTGTGAGATCATGACCTGAGCTGAAGTCAGATGCTTAACCGACTGAGCCACCCAGGCGCCCTTTGTTTGATAATCTTTTAACAGTTCCTTGAGACAGGATCTATTATGGTCCTGTTTTAAATATGGGGAAACTAAGGCACAGAGAAGTTAAGCAACTTTCCCTAGGTCACCCAGCTTGTAAATGATGGAGCTGGGATTTGAATCCAGTATGTCTCTTGACCATTTTAAGGTACTCTACCTGTCTGGGACTTGGTCCTCCCCCAAGGGAAGACTAGGGATAAGGAATAAGGGCCTGTGTCCAACCCACGAATCAGATGTCACTCCACCTCTCATAGGGGGAGTGAGTGAAGGAGGGGAAGGAAGGAGAAGAGTTACTTTCCTGACATTTCCAAGAGGGCAGAAGTTCCCCCTCTGTGGCCCCACAGGAAAGTACGGAGGAGAAAATGGTCCCATCACTCTGTCCTGTAAAATGCAAGCATTTGTCACTAATGCAAACCTCATCTAAGTGTGTGAGGTTAAGGGAGAAATGCCAAACCCCAGAAATAACTCCTAGTGGGTAAAAGTTGCCGTACTGACAGAACTTGTCTACACCATCAGAAGTCGAAATAGTGTTAGCTTTGAGAGGGGTTAGGTGAAGGAGGGAGGGAGTATGAGAGGGGAGGACTTTGGGGCACAGAGGATGATGTGCTGCTTGTTCTGGGAGCTGGTGACATGGGCCACTCACCTTCCGAGGATTCATCAGGCTGTACCATTAGAATGTGTGCACTTTTCTTTTTGCATATTGTACTTCAGCAAAATGGTTTTAATGTTTTTTAAAAGTTGCCATATATCCTAGTAGACATTCTTCCCCTTAGAAGCTGAGACTGGAGGCACCTGGGTGGCTCAGTTGGTTAGGTGTCCAACTTTGGCTCAGGTCATGATCTCATGGTTCGTGGATTCAAGCCCCACATTGGGCTCTGTGCTGACAGCTCAGAGCCTGGAGCTTGCTCCGGATTCTGTGTCTCCCTCTCTCTCTGCTCCTCCCCTGCTTGCACTGTCTCTCTCTCTCTCTCCCCCTCTCAAAAATAAATAAATACAGGGGCACCTGGGTAGCTCAGTCAGTTGGGCGTCCAACTTTGGTTCAGGTTATGATCTCGCGGTCTGTGAGTTTGAGCCCCGCGTCGGGCTCTGTGCTGACAGCTCAGAGCCTGGAGCCTGCTTCGGATTCTGTGTCTCCCTTTCTCGCTCATGCTCTGTCAAAAATAGACATTAAAAAAAAAATTAAAATATATTAAAAAAAAAAGCTGAGACTGAATTGGGATTTTTGTGCAAGGGATTTATTGAGGGACTGTGCTCTCAGGGGGAAGCTGGGTTTGACTGGGGGTCCAGCCTGGGCCTGGTCCCACAAGGAGCTCTGGAGCATCAACAGTCCTTGTTCTCCCCTGAGCCAGTGGGGAGTGTGTTATACTCTATCCCTGGGCGCACGACTGTTGGGGATGAGCATAACTGCCTGTGTAATTCTCTAGGGAGGTGGATCCCATTAGCAAAGGGCATTTCTAAGAAGGGGGCAATCATAAACCTAAGCGATAAACCAGAAAGTTAGCAGCCCATATGCACAGCAGCTGGAAAAGAAACAAAAGAGAACCAGGTGAGGCACTGGTAGGTCTATTAGCAGTAGTATGGTGTGTGTGTGTGTGTGTGTGTCTGTGTAAAATTTTTACACTTCAGATGACCTGTACTTACGTTTTCTTAACTTTGTACTCTGCTTAAAAAACTGTCGTACTTCCAACAAAATGCACAGATGAGGGAGTGTGCACACATATATATGCCCATGTAACATCCCAATGAGCACTGCCATTATCTTAGAAGATACCCTCATCTTCTTTTCTGATCTCTGTTCCCCACCCTGAGGCAACCACATTTCCGATTTTGCCTCATATAGATTAGTTTTGCCTATGGTTAAATTTGATGTAAATAGAATCCTACAGGAAATCACATACATTTCTTAAAACCCAAAAAAGATTATAGCAAAATGCTTACCCTACCATTTGGTATTTTCATAATATAATAGCTTTCCATATGGATACATATTGATGTCCTTTGTTCTTTTGTATTTTACTTTTTAATGTTTATTTATTTTTGAGGGGGGGAGGGACAGAGAGAGGGAGACACAGAATCTGAAGCAGGCTTCAGGCTCTGAGCTGTCAGCACACAGCCCGACATGGAGCTCGAACTCAGGAGCTGTGAAATCATGACCTGTGCTGAAGTCGGATGCTTAACTGAGCCACCCAGGCGCCACTGTTTTTTTTAAGTTTACTTTTTACAGCAGCCAAATATTCTGTAGTATGCTCTGTCATGACCATTTCCTCAACTGACGAATGATCAGGTTGTCGTCGCCGCCACTGAATAATATGTATTTGTCAAGTTGTCCTCCTAGTCTATAGCATGAGTTATGAGGAACTTCATAAAAACCCGTATTCTCTGGGCCTATCCAAGATCTGCTGAATCACAGAATCCAAGGGTGGAGCCCAGTTATTTGAAAAAGTCACCCAAGTTTTTCTGATGCTCTGCCAGGCTTGGGAGCTGCTTCTGTGGTTTATTTTCTCCAGGATGTAAAGGGGAGCTTTGAAATGTGATGACATCCAGCAGGAGACAGCAGGCTAGAGGAAGAGTTAGTCCTTTTCCAAGGATTAGAGATGTGAATTCCATCAATGATTTCTAATATGTTGTAACATTTCATAGTATATGCTATTTCTCTTCTTTTTCAGGTTTTTTTTTCATGTCCCCACTGCCTAGCTTTCTAGATAACTCATTATGTCCTATCCATTCCCCAAACTTCTCTGATATTTTTAATAGTGGTTGCACTAAACCCATCACTAATTTGAAGAAGAACTGTCACCATTAACCATTCTGTCTTCCCATCCTTCATCATGGTAGGTCTTTCTATTCATGTATTCATTTGACGGATATTTACAGAATTCATATTCTGTGTCCGGCACTGTTCAGGCACTGGGGCTACAGTCATTAGCAAACCAAAGTCTTTGCCCTTATAGGGCGTGGAGCAAAAGAAAAGCTGGGCAAGGGTAGTTCTGTGGTTTTCTGTGGGAAGGTATTGGGGTGTACAGTTCTGAACACAGTGATGAGAGAAGCATTTTTTAAGGAAGTGACAAAAACTGAGTGATGGGAGATGTGACAGAGAAAGCCTCACGGATACCTGGGGAAAAAGCATTTCAGGAAGAAGAAACCATAAGTGCAAAGGCATGGAGACAAGAGTGGCTGGGGAAGAGTGAGTAATGCATGGAATGACTTCAGCTTTGGAAGGAGCACTCTGGCTGCCCCATGGAGAAGAAATTGGGGGTTGGGGTAGCATCAAGATAAGAGTGATGGTGGCTGTGACCAGGGTGGAAGCAGTCAGCTTCTGGATGTATTTTGAAGGTAAAGCCAACAGCATTTGTTGATGGCTCGAATGTGTGTGATGACAAAGAAAGAAGCATCAAGAAGGCCACAGTTACAGGCCTGGAGGGGCCGGAAGGAGAGATATGGGGAAAACTGCATGAGATTTTTTTTCTTTTTAGTTGGAGGAGGGATATTAGGGTATTTGGGATATGTAAAGTTTAAGATGTCCATTAGATATCTGAGTGGAGGGGCACCTGGGTCGCTCAGTCAGTTGAGCATCTGATTTTGGCTCAGGTCATGATCTCACAGTTTGTGACTTCAAGCCCCACAGTGGGCTCACTGCTGTCAGCACAGAGCCCGCTTTGGATCCTGTCCCCTTCTTTCTGACTCTCCCCTGCTTGTGCTCTCCCCAGAAGAAATAAATATTAAAAAAAAAAAAAAAAAAGATATCCAAGTGGAGATGGCAAGCAGATGGTGAGATTTATAAGTTAGGAATTTAGGAGACGGGTTGGGTCATACACACACACAGTTGAGGTCACTGGTGTATAGATGATATTTAACACTGTGAAACTGTATATGTCATCTTGAAATTTTTCATCACATGTATTCTGATCTTTCCTCTGATACAGCATAGGTGTATTACTTATTTTTGTATATTTATGTTATATCTGGTCACTTCATTGTACAGTTGTGAATTCAGCTTTTCAGTTGATATATCATTTCATTCCCAATCATGCAATCACATTTTCCTGCAAGAAACAATGGTGGCCCCTCCATTTCTAATATTTATACTTTTTTTTTCTTCTGTTTCAGGGCTTTGTGGAGTGGTCAAAAGCTCCACAACAAACGACCATAGTCTTGGTAGTGTGTGTCCTGTTTTTGTTCCTGGTTTTAACAGGGATGCCTATGATGTTTCACATTTAACTATAATGGTGGCTATTGTTTTGAAATAAATGGCCTGCTTCTTGTTAAGGAAATAGTTAAAAATCAGGAATAGTATTGAATATTAGCAAATGCCTTTTAAACATCCATCAAGATGATTTTTTTTTTGTATTTAACCTTTTGTTATGAGGTTTTACATTATTTCATTGAACTTAAGACATCACTGATTGTAAAACACATATTGCTTTATATACCACTGAGAAAGAAAAAACATGCTTCTTAATTGTAAGATGCTACCAGCTGGAAGATGTATCCGGACTTCAGAGACGATGAAAAAATGTGCAATTTAGGATTGATGAAATCTGTTAGATTTCTTAATATCAAATCCTCTTTGTATTCTTAGGGTTGTGGTACACTAGTCTTTTCAAATACTGAATCTTTATTTCTTGATATTTTATGTATGATTCTTCACTCTATCTTCACACGTAAGATTGGTGCTATCTTTGTCAAGTTTTGGTAACATGGCTAGGCTTGCATCATTGAAGGACATAACCTTTGTTGTCTTCTAAGCTTTAGAATAGTTTCTGTAACTTAAGTATCACTTCCTTGACATTTTGAAGAAATTCACCAGTAAGGCAATCAGGGCCTGGAGGTATGGAGAGGAAGTTTCAGCTGAATTCTTGGGCGGCTTTCTCAGTTTCTTCTCATGTTACCAGTTTATTATATTTCATTAATTTTGATGATTTATAGTGTTTTTTATGCTTAGAAAATTCTCCATTTCATTGAACTTTTCAGATTATGAATACCATTCTATAATTAAATGAAAATCTTCTCTTTATTTTGTTCTATCTCCTTTCTTCCTTTCAACTTCTGCTTGTGGGTTTACCCATTAGTTTTGTCAGAGTTTTATCCAGTTTACTATTGCTTTTCCAAAGAACCAGCATTAGAATTCATGTATATCCATATTTCTCTAGTTTGTAATTTTTTCATTAATATGTATTAGGCTCATTTTTTATTTCTATACCTTGTCTGTTTTTATGTTGAATAATTCATTTATAATCTTTTTTTACAAAATTATTTGCCAAAATAGTATACTTAATAATAAATATACTTCTGATTATAGCCTTGGCCACATTTTAATTTGATAATTTGTGTTCCTGTTTGTTGTTGTCTAAATGTTATATCGTAGTGTTTATAAAGAGTGCTTTGAAACTCTGATCAGGTTTATTTAAAAATAGTTTTACTGATTTACTGCACTGTGAACAAAGAATGTGGCCTCTAATATATATGCTTTCAAAAGCTTTTTAAAAGCTCTTACTGTGGCCTACAACGTGTCCAGTGTTTGTACATGTTTCACGGACATTTAAGACGAATGTGTATTTTCAGTCTGTAGAATTCAGAATTCTACATGTCTGTTAATGAATTCAGTCTTATCCATGATATTGCGTAGGTTCATGTGTTAGTTTTGGCTCACCTTATCTGTCAAAAACCAATAAGGTTATGTGAAAATCTGTTAGTATGACTATGTTTGTCAATATATTTTGTATAAACTTTGCTTTATGTATTCAGTCACTATGTAATTTGATGCATATGAGGTACAGCACTGTTATGTCTTTGCCAATTAAAGGGTATACGTACACCACCAAGCACAATGCCGGGCAATAGTAGCCATGCAATAAACATTAGTTTAAACCTGATTCTGAATCCTTTGTGAAATATAAAATGATTGTCTTTAAACCAATTTAATCCCGAGGCTTAAATTTTACTTTGTCTATTAGTGGTTGGTATCTCCATCCTGCTCTTTTTAAATTTGTGTGTGTGCGCACACGTGTGTGTATTTAGACCCTTCGTGTCGTTTTGATAGGATTTCCAATGGCCTCTCCAGGTTTGCCAAAAAAAATCTGGGCAGGTAGAAGTATGGGATCCTGTCTCCCCATAGTTCCCTCCAGCTGACTGCATCAAAAAACAAGCAACAATCGTCCCTTCAAACAGACACAAGCCTCAGCTGTTACATTCATTACGATTTATCAGTTGCAAGTAACAGCAGCTGATTCAAAGAAGCTTAAGTTTGTTAATGATCAATTACCGATTCATGTTACACCAAAGCCTGGGATGAAATTGGCTCAATTTATAGCTGGTTCCCGGGGCCTAAAAATATCACTGGGACCTTTCCTCTCCACTGACCTCAGAGTTCCACTCCCTTGCAGGGGTGACCTTCTTTTTCTCCACTCGGCTGGGAGGATGGCTACCACCACCACCCTGTTCTACGTGGCAAAGTGGGGGACACGGGATAGATTCTCCTCACACCCTCACCTCCCAGCCCTTCCCTGCCCCAGGAACTGGAATCTTGAAATAAGGGAGAGAACGGCAGCTGGAGGCAGGAACTGGCTGTCCTAGGAGTGGGCAGAGCATAATGGACTGCAGCAGGACAAAGGTAGAAACCGGAGATGCCTGTGGGGACCGTGCCAGATGTTCCGAACGGGGGGGGGGCGCTGTGGGTTGAGATTCGCTCAGACCGTCCCACGTGCCTTAAATTTGTGGGATATTGCAAACAGTCATGAGAATATAAACCACAAAAGCAATGGCCCTTCATTTGGGTTCTATCACGTGCCAGGAACCACATTTCATTGATGACAGAAATATCGACTCGCACCCCTGATGGTCTCTTCTCCATTCGACAGCCAGATACATCCCATGACACCATAATTAAGACCATTCACAATCCACCCACTTCAGCAGGTAAAAGCCAAAGTCCTCACGGTGGCCGTCCATCCCTGCAGTAAGGGCTGGCGCTCGCACCCTCCGTTCCATGCGCGCGGCCTTTGCTGTTTGAACAAGCCCATCACGTGCCTGCCACGTGCCTGCCTCGGGACCTTGGCACGGACTGTGGAGTGGACCTCAGCCTGTAATGCTCTTCCCCCCGGACGCTCACGTGGCTCCCTCACCTGCAGTGCTCGGCTCCCACATCTTCCCCCACCGTCCCCAAATAACACTTACCTCCGCAGGTGATTCTCCTGGTCTTCAGCGCCTGTATCACCACCTGACAATTACAGGTTAATTGATGGTTAATTGATGGTTAATGGAGGTTCTGCTCTGTCCACCTCCTCTGCCCAGTCTCCCTGGAGGAACTGAGTCCTGGGAAGGTTGAGTGGGGGAGGGGGGCTGCAGAGTTCAGCCTGCATTTCTCAGGAATTCCCTGCACGCCAGCCTGTGGGACCCCGGCCCCTTCCGACCCCCTCCCCCATGCGCTTGAAGCTGCTGGGTTCTCCCCTGGAACAGGACACGCTGGCCCCAGGGTAGCATCTGCATACAGTATCTGCGGAACATAGTGGGGGACGGAGGATGTCAGGTAAGTTGGCAACTATGGCAAATCTAAACCGCTAAGGCAAACACTGGCACGCCCGTGGCTTGCGGGAGCCGTGGGAGCGGCTTGGGGCTGGCTGGCTGGCTGACTGCGCTGCCGTGTTCCCGAATGCCAACTCCTTTCCCTCTTCCTTACCAGTAATTCCGAAAGCTCTGAACAGGTATTTTCGGCAGCTCCCCCTCCCGGGGCTCAGCTCCTCCACGGCTGTGGACTCAGGGCACCGCTCGCGCGCGCCACTCTCACTGCAACAGGAGGGACCGCGGACGCTCCCGTCCTCCCGGCTGCGACTCTCGTCGCTCCCGCGTCCACCCTCCTGCGTCGGCCCCGCAGCACAGCCCACCAACCGCCCGCGGGCGGGGCCAGCTCGCGGCGTTACGCCCGGCGCCTGCGCACTGCACCTAGCCGGCTCTTGTTGAAGTCTTGGCGGAAGGGCTCAAAGGCGGGACGCCGACCCCGCCCACACCTCGCCCGCACCCTCCCCCCTCTCCCCCCCGCAGAGCCGGGGCATCCGCAGCCTTGGCGTTGCGGAGGACCAGTTTCCCTTGGTCTTTGGGGTGACTGAACTCAGGCTTATGTCTGTAAACTGGGCTCCCATTTCACATTCATCCCTTCACGCAGCACTGCCTGAGGGCCTACTGTGTGCCTAGCGCCTGGGCTGGGCGAAGGTCAGAAGGAGGAGCCAGACCGTGCAGTCCATGCAAGACCCTGAATGGCTCTAGGGTTGCAGCTGGACATGGTCAACCATTCATTCAGTCACTCAGTATTTCCTGAGGACCTACTGTGCGCTGAGGCCTGAGGTAGGAGATGTCTGGGGCATAGCCATGAACCGACTGTGTCCTCCCTCCTGACCGTGAATAACTCCTGGCCTGATGCTGCGATGTATAACTATTCAGCTATCTGGAGCTTCTTAAGGACCTACTGTGTGCTAAGGCTTGGGCTAGGCAAAGTTGGGGTCACAGGAAGGAACCAGTATGCATGTTCTCTGATCCAGGACTGGTGCTGAGGATGTTTACTTATTTATTAATTTACCTGGCCTATTAATTTAGATCTCCCGAAGACCCACTGTGTGCTGGTGCTTGAGCTGGCTAATGCCTGGGAGACAGGGGGGCACCGAATGTGTGGCCTCTGACCCTGAATGATGCCAGGGCTGATGCTGGGATGCACAACTACTCACCCAGTCCTTTATGAGTACCTACTCTATGCTGGGGCCTGAGTGATGTCTGCAGCACAGAGGAAGCACAAACACCGTAAGTCTTGACCCTGCAGGGCAGGTCAGGGATTTGTCACTCATTTATTTATTCACATGAGATTCCCTGAGGACCTACTGCGTGCCAAGGCCTGTGCAGGTAACGCCAGGGCAAAAGGAAAGGCACGCATCTCCTCCGAGGCCCCTCACCAGCTTCCTTGCTAGGACTAAGAGCTGAGGAAGCTGGTGGGCAGGGAGACAGATGTCTCTTTACACGTCCGTGTGGTTGTTTTAATTTCTCTCCTCCTTAGTTATACACATTAAAGATCATTTATGTTTGAGGTATTTTCAGGGCTTGGCGTTATTTTCTGATAATTTACATCACTTTTTCAGGGCCCAAGGAAATCTGAATATGGACTGGACACTGGATGATATCAAGAAATTAATGTTTCACTGGGTGTGAATGATACTGTGGTTGTATAGAAGGTACTT